TGATTTTTGAAAAAGAGTGTATTAAGTGTCCTGTAGTTGAAAATTTTATTGTAATGTGTCCTTTTCAATATTTTTTAAAATAAAGAAAGGAAATAGGACAATAGTTAAAGATTTTTTTAAATTGGGGGAATTTCAAATTATTTAAATATTTAAGAAAAGATATCATTTTAAAAGATGCCATTAAATAAAGTCAATGTTTACTTGTGCTATCTGTAACCCATGTGCTGGCATATCTAGTTTTACTTTTGAATTAAAACCCCTATAAACATGTGTTACAGTATTTCAAGAGCGAAAGTTTTTTCAAAAAATAGTATCGTTAACTTTTTTAGATTTATAATTGTTTTTTTTTATGGTTGAGATAATTACTTTTTACTTAAGTATAGTCCTTTATGATACAACTTTAATTATTTTTTTTTGTGAATATTTTTTTGTTATTTTGAATTTTTTTGAGTTTAAATTTAACATTAAAAAAAACTCATCTTAGGAAACTGGTTTTTTAAGATGAAATGATTGAGTGTGCTGAAGAAAACGCAATTTTTGGTATAAAGATTTTTTTTTAATGAACTTGTCATTTATATTCTTTGAAAGAAAAGATTAAATTATCATTATTCTTACAAAATATATATCTTTTTGTAATCTTTTGAGAACAAGTTACATTACGCTGAAAACATGCTCAACTTACGCAACCTTCCCCTAGTTAAGGAAGGATTTTTATCTTTTCTTGCATATTTAAAGATTTTACTTGCCATCGCTACAGAATAAAAGATATTATTCGAGTTAGCCAGCCCGTATATGAATCGCATTTTATATCAATTTAAAAACAACGATAGCCGATATGATTATGAAAATAATGAAACCGAGGTAAACTTATTTACGAGAACAATTTATGGAAAAAATCAGTAATAAAAAGATTTTTCTAAATAATAATCGTTTTAATTTTAAGTGAAACTTTTCAATTTTATTGCATGATTCTTTTGTTTCTAATTTGTTTTAATTGATGTTATTTTACTTTTTTTTTTTTTTTGAAAACATTTTGCGCTATTATTTCATTATTATTTAAATATTGCTTTGTTTTATAACATTTATTCTATAAAACAATTTTTCCGTCTGATTTATATAAACATTACGAAATCACAAGAAAGGAAATTCGCTGATCTCTAATAATAACACTATGTACAATTAGTTATTTATAAAGATCAGTGAGGCAACTGCGGTAGCAGGAAAAAATCCCCCCGGAAAAAATCCCCCGAGAAAAAATCCCCCCGAAAAAAACCCCCCCCCCGAGAAAAAATTCCCCCCCCCCCCCCCCCCCCCCCGAGAAAAAATTAAGGTAAAATGCGAACTTTTTTGCATAACAAAACATTATATTTTAAAGACTATTATTTTTATGATAAAAATAATAATAAAAAAAAACTCTCCAATTCTTAATTATCTATTTTAAAGCTTTATTTTGAATAAAACTTTTATTTTTTAACTGTAAAACATGCGCGGAGTGTTGCTACATCGACTATCTTATAGTCTGACTCGCAACGGAGTGCTGCTACATCGACTGACAAATAGCCTGACTCGCAACAGAGTGCTGCTACATAGACTAAGGGTTTGGTTTGGGCAGGCAGTCTATCAAATAATTAAATATATATATATATATTTTCATATTGTATTCGTCTAGTTTTACTTAATTTCCTTTTATTTTTTTTAAACGTTTTAAAGTTAAAGACAGGGCTTGAAATCCAAGATTTGGCATTATGTTGAAAACGTACATTTTTTTTCGTGCAATGATTTTTGTTGTTTTGTTTGTAGTAAATTTAATTGTTTATATTTCAAATCAAACAAATAAGTTAGTTATGTTGAAATGACTCTCTCTCTCTCTCTCTCTCTGTTTAACTGCCTTTGACTTTATGTGGATGTAGTCTTTTATTGTTTCCTTTTTATATCAAATTTTGTTAAAACTTGTTAAATTTATCAGAACTTAAAATTAAAAAACATTTTTCTAATTGTTTTTTAATTTCATTTGTAATTTATTTTATACTGTGTTTTTATTGTCTTTTATGACATTTTTACATTGTGACGATTTTAAAGATACAGTAGAATATTAAAATTTTATAATAACTGAAAATGACTTTTAAATATTCGAACAAAATATTGAGAGTCATAGATAAAGCAAAAAGGGTAAAATTATGGGTATTTGTTGCCCATTTAAGCATTTTTATGTTACAAAAAAAAAAATACTTAAGAGTATTGGTTCATTAAAATAGAAAAAAAGCGTTTATATAATTGGAAAAAAATGATGAGTCATAAATTAAAGCCTGAGCCAATTTAAGATGACAGTTACAAAAAAAATTTCAAATAAATTAAACAAAATTTTATGGAAGACTGGATGTTGAGCATACTCTTTTACAAGTTTAAATCTATTCCACGTAGGTTTAAATTTAGAATGAACTCTCAACGCTTTTTAGAAAACTTTCTTGGGTAGATAGGATGGAATCCTTAAATACACCTTTATATCTCATTTTTCTCAACTTAGACTTGTAATTCTGTGTATTAAAAATTTAAAATAGTAAAAAAAAAAAGTTGAATTATTTTTTTTTTTTTTAACTATAAACTAGTTATGTATTTATCGACAGATTTTAAATTTTATGTTTAAATTTTAAAAGACGCATTTTTATGAATTAAGTACCCCGGTTTTTATCATTCATATTAAAACGTTGCAATTAGTTGTTTTTAAGTTTATAGTTTAGAACTTATTTTGTTTTTTGTCCGATGTTTTTTATAAAATTCAAACAAAAATTTTAGCTTTTAAAACCTCTTTTAAATTTTGTTTTATAAAAATTTTAATGTATCAGATATTTTAATAGTTTAATAGTTATGCTTATAGAAGTACTTTTTTTAAAGAGTTGTTACGTAAATTAAATTTGAGATGTTACGTAAATTAAATTTGAATTGTTACGTAAATTAAATTTGAGTAGTTACGTAACTTTTGTTTTCGCGCCAGAAAAGCTCTCTATTAAATGTTATAAAATTAATCCTAGAAAAGATTTATAAAAAAATAGATATTGATATAAATGTAATTACGTATAATTACGTATATTCTTTGATAACCTAAATAAAATGGGTTTATTTTAAACATAAATAAACTGTTAGAGTTTTTATATATTTACATAATAATTTATGTATTTAATAATTTTGTATTTTTATTATACATTTTTATTACATATTTAATATAATATAATGCAGAATTATACAAAGCACTATATTTACAAACTATTTGTTAAAGTTTTGGAATAGACTATATATTTTAATTTTTATAATTTTGTTATTTCAAGTCACTTTTTGAGAGCTTTGTTTTATTTTGGTACAGCAGACCACGTTTATTACAATTCAAATTGAAGAGAATGTTTGATCTTTTCTTTTTTGATACAGAATTTTTGTATGCTTTTTTATTATTTTCTTTTTTAGTTTCAAGGAAATATTCACGGAGCTTTTTTGTTTTGTTTTAATTAAACTAATAGTCATTCATAGTTTTTTTTGTAGTTATTTTTACAAGAATAAATTTTGGGCAAACAATATATTATGAATAGTACTCGAAAAATTTTTAAAAGTGCTATTTGCGCCCATAAAATATAAATGTTTACCATTTTTTATCATGCAGTTTATTTTTTAGTTTCAGATCCAGATTTTTTTTTTTACAAAGATTTCTACTTGTTGCAAAACATTTTAAATTGCTGCTATTTTATTAAGATTTGTTCAGTATTCAAAGAACCAATCAGTAAAGTAGTATAAATGACGTTGATGAGCTTATTGAATGCGCTTAGATTCAGAGACGGTATCATTTTAAATTCAAATAAGGGGTCGTCCATAAAGGACGTCATTCAGAATTTAAATACTAACCAAAAGTAGTTCCCTCCCGCGGAAATATTTATTGAACGTAAGGCGCTATAATACTCTAAAAATCTCTGCGCACGAGAACCAACATTCTCCGAGTTCTTGCCATTAGTTAAACTTAGCGTGGCGTCCTTTAAGGTGACCCCTAATGCATCGAAAAATTATTATACATTTACAAACAATTTATAACTTAGTGTACCCATATTCAAAAATATATACTAATTTTGTTTACTCATTTCTGACGTACAACCTTAAACAATTCAGAAAGGGGACTTGCTTTTCACGCGGCATATAATAAACTAGCGTACCGTTTGTGTTCTATAGAACTTTTAACAGAAGCGTAAGGCATTTTGGGATTGATATTCGGACAAACATTTCACAATAACATAAGAATTTCTTAAAAACGCTAGTGATTGTGGGATTGATATTCGGACAAACAAACAAATTGACGTCACTAAAACGTACGCTAGTATAGGATTACCCATTTCGTTAAAATTTCTATGCGCAAGTTTTAATATGCTGGTTAGATTTGCTGAATTTTTTTTGTTATAAATATAAATTTGTCAAGAATATACCTTACAAATTTAAACTTAATGTTCCACGGGCTCCCTTGCTTTCCAAACAAAACTTACTTACAGTATTATAAAAATATAGGCTGTAAAGAGAATTTTTTGAAATAGATAAATTTACATCTCCCCATGTTTCAAAAAAACTTTCTACGTCAAAAATATAATTTAATGAATAAAAAATGATTCAAAATCTTTGTTCATAAATGTTTACGCATAGAATGCTTATATCTTTTTTTTTTTTTTTAGAATCTTTTTTTTTTTTTTTTTTTTTAATTTTCAGTTTTAAAGTATTCATCGTTGAAACAACTAATATCTATTATAGTCTAAAAACTTAAATTTTAATAATTTTAACTTTTCTTAAATAGGAAATATCTAACTAGTTTGACTATTTTTATAGTTATTTATTATATTGGATGAGATAATTGTCGTTTCGTTTAGCCTTGATATAAATTTTCATTTAGTCTTAAATTTAAACATAATATATAAAATGATAAAACATAATATAGTAATTAAAGTAAAGGTAAAAATGTAAAAGAAAAAAAAAATTACTTCTTTGCACCTTTCGTTGTTTGTTTTCGTTGCTTTCAGCTGGTTTCTCTAACGATTATAAATAACTTTTGATGTTTCTCATTGTGTATGGATTTTTGCCTGAGAGAACAGTTCTTTACGAGTTCTTGCTGTTTTTTCGCTAAAGTCCTCATTTATGTGTATATATTTCTTTTAAAGTTTGGACGAATATATATCAAATAATTTCTTTACCCTGACAATTAAAAATATTGTAAACTATAGCTCTTGGTTTATCTGATAACTTTCATGCTTATGAGCTCTTTCTATGGAAACTGGCTCAGCAATTTCTTTATTTTTCTTCAGAAGATTTTTTTTTTTTTAATTCCTTCAGTAAACCGACTATTCGTGAGTTGTATCTTCACTTACGGTCTTGCAGGTAAACCGTTTTTAATAAGTTTCTCTGAAAGAATTTCACACCCACCATGGGCTCTTTCATTTTACTTATTGTGTAATAATAGCAACGGCAGCGTTTGATTTCTTTTACTTATCTATCAACTTTGTGAAAAGTACTCCTTAAACTTTTTTAAAAACATTTTAACACAGTATCTGCATGTATTGCTAATGTTTTTTTAACATTCCGATTGTGATTAATTTTTAATTATCAGTTTCGTGTAAATTTGAAAAAACTCTCCACGTGTTAAAAGCGCATCTGCTTTCGTTGAACGCCGAATGATTAATGCTGAATTCTATCTTTATAAATTTAGGATGCTGGTACCTGCAAAATTAAAAAAATATTAAAAAAAAAAAAAAAAATCTCCGATACGAAAAGAGTCGTTGACAAAAATGTTAACGTAAAATCTTTAAAAATGAAGAAGTTTAAAAATAAAGAACGATTCTTTGCCCAATCAATGTAATCAATGTAATCTTGACTTACTGAACGATTATCACGTTAATTTTCTTGATTATTTAATTTAACATTAAAAAGTTAAGTTATGATTAAATTAAGTTCGTTTATGGTATTCAAGCAATATTACTTGAATAATGAAAGTATATATAATCTCTAGAAATATTGTATACTATACCAAAAATATATAAAGATAAGTTTAAATACCATAAACAGATGATTATGATATTTAAACTTATATTTAAAAATAAAATAAACTTGGTTATTTAAAAATTCTTTAACTTACTTTGTCACCAATATCTGCATTTATATCAAAAAAAAATTAATTCGGCATGATTTTCGAAACAAACGACAAACAAATAAAGAGTTATCATGGTGTAAATGTAAAAACATTGCTTAATTGATTTTTGATCATCTTCATTGTAATATAACTCCTAACTTCTTTGAACAACTTGGGCCTTAGGTTGTTTTCTCTAATCCTAATAACAAAGAACCTTCAATTTAAAGTAAGAATTAAAATTGGTATGATTTTTATTTTAAAAAATTGCAAGGTTACAGAGGAGACCGGGGCTTGTTAACAACAGGGGTAAATTGACGAATTGCGTTTATCTTCAGAACCTTTCATCAAAAAGTGACAGAAATTTCATCTTCAAATGTATTATTCTGACTCGCGCATGCACATAAGAGATATTAGAATTTATGTGTGTTTTGCACAAAAGCAAAGCTTTTTGAACAGAGTATAGATTTAAATCTGAACATAAGTATTTTTTTTTTATTTTATTTTTTTTTCAGTTTCGTATTTATAAGTTAAATAATTTTTTAAGGGCATTTCTTATACTTAAGAACAGAGTTGTTAACAAGGCCAAAAGTAGCAAGGCCTAGGCCACATTTTACATGGCCAAGGCCAAGACCAAAGTCAAAAGTTACAAGGTTAAGGACAAGACTAAGGACAAGTGTTTTAAGGTCATGGCCAAAATTAAAAGTTTCAAGGCCAAGGCCTACGCAATTTGTCTCAAAACCAAAGACTTCAAATTTTGCCTTACGTTAAGGCCAATTATTAACAAAACTGTAAGTAGCAAGTGCTGTGACAATAAAACCATATTTTGTAAAATTAGACCAAGGTTATGCACAGAATTCAACGAAATCAATAAGAAAATATGTATTTTTTTAAGGCCAAGGCCAAAACAATCAAGGTCAAGTCCAAAATTTTCAAGGCCAAGGCCAACAGTTTTAAGGCCAAAACCTCAATTTTTGCCTTTAAGGCAAAAATTAAGACAAGGCCAAGGACTCACAACTCTGCTTAAGATAAATTATTACTAAGATTTTTTAACATTTATTTATTAATGTTAGATACTGGAAAACGTATTTTTGAGTAATTTTGAGTAAAAAAAAAAGTTTTAAAAACCGTCTGCGAAAAAAGTAAATTAGAAAACCAGAAGCTTGCATTAATAAATAATATTAAAAAGTATTTTACTTCGATTCAGTAAAATAAGTTAATGCATTAGAAATTTTATTTTTATGTAAACAGTAACTCGAAAAAATCACTCAAAAACTTATAAATTAAATAAAACCATAAATTAGGGTTTATCGGTCTTTCAAAACCAGTTTTAAAAAACAGGTTTTTCAAATTAAATTTTACACATTTAAAAACCGGTTTTCTATTTTTTAACATTTTTTTAGTATACTTTTGTTATGCAATGATATTTCATTAAGTAAGTTTAGTAAGCTGTTTTTTTTTTTGTTTTTTTAACATCTAGCTAACTTTTTTCCTGTGGTAGATGGAGATTTCGATTTCATTTTTTGCAAAATGTTTTGTAATAATGACGCAATAGATACAGTTGCTTGTCTAAAAATATACGGATGTAAAACATAAAGTTTTAGGCAAACTAAATCTTCTCGAATAATTTGGATTTAATATTTACTTATATGTATTTATAAAATGTATTTATATGTAAGAATATATTATGTTGATGTATTTATAAATGTAATAGTTTAATACGTTTATGTACTAACTTATTTACTGAATTCACAAAATCCTGAAAACATTTCCGGCCCAGCAAAATAATCTAGCATGTTTCTTTTAGCTTCGAAAATTGATACTATTGAATTGCCTGAAAATTTATTGTCAATTGATTATGTCAATTCTATTGTGAAAAACAAGATCAAGAGGAAATCGAAGATGCTATTTTTTGAAGAGGAAATCGAAGATTTTTTGAAGAGGAAATCGAAGATTTTTCTCATCAGAGTAAAGCTTTTTAAAAAGAATTTTAAAAAAAAATCATGGAAAATTCAATTACAAAGTTTCTTGACTTTGTAATTGAATTTTCCATTAACCCAAAGACACTGTAGTTGAATTTTTATTATTTGAGTCAACGCATAAACGAACCAAAAACTTAGATTTGTTATTTGATGCACTTAAAACTATAAACCCTTTTTAAAATCCTATTTCGTAAAGAAATAGTCGCATGAAAAAAAAAGTCTACATTGAAAAAAAAAATTCATTTGCTAATTTACCCCTGAATAGGGTAAATTAGTGAATTTTATTTTTATTTTTTTTATTTCAGAAGGGGTTTAAAAAAGTTTTTTATATACTGCAGCTTGAAAATGTTACCTAAATTTCTTCAAGACTACACTACAAAATTTATATAAACTACACTATAACATTTACAAAAAAATATTTTGTTGTTAGAAGGCTACAAACCAGGCCCGTAGCAACCAGAGGGGGAAAGGCAGTAGGGGCATTTGCTCCAATTTATTTTTTTTAATTACAAGACATCGTAAACTAATTTAGAATCAAGTTAAAGGAACGCAAAAACGTGATGGAAGCAAGTAATGGGGTCTTGTAATAGAGAAACGCTTGAATTAGAACTTGAACTTTTTTTTAATATCAAACTACTTTTTTTTGGTTATGGTGTTTATGGTGGTTGGGGGGTACTAATTAAATGAATTGTCCATAATGGACAATTTATTTAATTAGTACGCCCCAACCACCATAACTAGCTGCCCGAAACTATAAATTACAGGTTTTGGTATTATATTATATATACCTATTCCATACCAACTATTTTTATACATATTCCTTACTTTGATATTTTTTAGTAAACGAAAAAATAATTATATAAAAATAGCCGAAAAATTATATATATATATATATATATATATATATATATATATATATATATATATATATATATATATATATATATATATATATATATATATATATATATATAATTATATAAAAAATATTTTATGACGTAATATTTTTTATAGCTTATAACAAGTATTTTATGGCTTCTGATGCTGATAATCCGATGCCAATAGTATTGGAGCTGAACCACCAAATGGAAGGAGAAACTCCTGGCTATGTAGCGGAAGACCCTACCAATTTATCTTTTTCTTCTACTATCATTTCTTCTAACAAAGAAAATAGGTACGTGAGTAAAAATTTTAAATTGTTTAAATATTATAGTGTTATATATCATTGGAAAGAGGATCAATACAGTATTTCAAAAGTCAAAAAGTTATCAAAATCGATCAATCCCTTTAAAAGTTATGACGGTTTAAGCACTGTTTTTTCAATATAAATATATATATGTATATATATATATATATATATATATATATATATATATATATATATATATATATATATATATATATATATATATATATATATTTATAAATATATATATATATATATATATATATATATATATATATATATATATATATATATATATATATATATATATATATATATATATATATATATATATATGTATGTATATATATATATAAATATACTCTGCTAAATAAATAACCCCTAATATAATTGGTAGAAGAATGGGTAAGAGTAGGAGGAGATCATAAATCTTGTATTTTCAGTTTCTTGCATTTCTAAATAGATATTATTAGATATTATGAGTATAATTATATGTTCATAAATAAATAGCTAATAATATCTATTTAGGAATGCAAGATGATAAATCTTATTTAAAAAAAAAAATACTTACAACATTTTCTTCAAAAATCTTGGTAAAGTTAGACTTTGAATTCTATGATATAATAGTAAATAAAAATTACTGTTACAATAGTAAAAATGACAGATATTAATATGTCAAAAATAAAGTTAATAATAGAACTAAATAACAATTCTAAATTATATAATAACTTAAAATTTTAAGAAAAATTACACTTTTAAAAAATAACGAATAATAAATAAATATAATATTTTTTGAAAAAATAACTTTTTTGTTTTGACGAAATGTTTCATCAATCTCAATTGAAGAGCATGTTTCTTAAGTCCACTTCAACATTCAGATTATTAATAAAGTAAAAATCTGGATTTGTTGAAAATGAATTTGTTGAAGAAATTGTGTCACAATTAAGTTTTTTTTAACATAGTCAATTCTTATCAAAATACAAATATCTTGATATCAAAAGATAAGTGTAAGAGTGGGCTACAAATTTATATTAATCATTAAACACTGGATGTATCCAGGGGGATAGAAGGGACAACAAACCACTACCTTTACCATAAAAAGTTGAACACTTTTTTTAGAAAAAAAGTATTTTTTCAAGACATAAATAGTTTAAATTTACAAAAACTTGGTTATAAATTTATATTAAACCACCTAAGTATATGAGAGACGTATGTAGTAAAAGATGGGTGTGGTGGTGATTAGTTTGATACACCCTATTATCAAAAATGTTTTCGTAAATAATTTTATCTTTATTAAAATGAATTCAATTAGTATACAGTATAAAATTATGTTATACAAAAATTTACGTATTCAAGTAGTGTCTACATTGACTTTTGGGAGGGAGGAATGCCCCATCCCCCCCCCCCAACAAAAAAAAAT